AACAATAAGACTAGTATATGAGGTAATAAGCCAATTTTACTCAGCTTAAACATGAAGAGGGGGATGGTATCCCCAGCTCAAGTAACATTAGAAATAAAACTACCGCCTGTGAAAATATAAATCAAAGATAATGGATTCAGAGAAGAAAACGTAATGAGTAATTAAGATACACAAGAAAATGGGAAGTGCAATGTTGAAGCTGAATGCAAAACCAATTTGTAAAGCTTTTGCATTATTATCTTCAATGGCCCAAAACCTTATTTCATATTATTTTTATTATTTCCAAATTTATAATTTTCAAAATGAAGGTCTTTGTTACCTTAGTTCATAAATATAATGTATGTTTGTTGCCATTTAACGATCTATATCGTTACTACAATGTGTCTGCACATGCTGCCATTTTAAATAAAATCCTTGATGCCTTAAACTTTGTACCAGCAGCCAGAAATGAGGTCATAGTGTGCTAATAGAAGCTATATGATGCAGACAACAATTATAAAAATATACCCTGCTTTGGCAGGGCTGTCATGAGAAATTGTGGGTTTAAATAGGGACAACCAAAATCCTATAGGACAGTATCATCACCCTGCACCAAGTCACACAAAGGGGTATGATCTGTGGAGGGTCAGATGATTTGTCTGAATATTATGACCTGTTACTTTAATCATAAAAAAAACCAAAAAACCTAAACCTGCAGGGTCCTGTAATTTCTGATACGCCAGCATCGCAATAAGAGACAGTGTATGGGGGGGCACTGTATGTGTGGGGCAATGTGTGTATGGGGGCACTGTATATGTGTGTGGGGCACTGTGTGTATGGGTGTGCAGTGTGTGTGAGGCAATGTGTGTATTCTGGCAGTGTATGTGTGTGTTGGGCAATGTGTGTGTGGGTGTGCAGTGTTTGTGGGGCAATGTGTGTATGGGTGTGCAGTGTATGTATGTGGGGAGCAATGTGTGTATGGGTGTGCAGTGTGTGTGTGTGAGGCAATGTGTGTATGGGGGCAGTATATGTGTGTGGGGCAGTGTGTGTAGGGCTATGTGTGTATGGGGGCAGTGTATGTGGCAGTGTGTGTGGGGCACTGTATGTGTGTGAGGCAGTGTGTGTATGGGGGGCAGTGTATGTGTGTGAGGCAGTGTATGTGGGTAGGGCAGTGTGTGAGTGGGGGGCAGTGTGTGTGGGACACTGTATATGTGTGAGGAAGTGTGTGTATGGAAGGCAGTGTATGTGTGTAGGGCAGTGTGTGTAAGGGAGGCAGTGTTTGTGGGACAGTGTATGTGTGTGAGGCAGTGTGTGTATGGGGGGCAGTGTTTGTGGGACAGTGTGTGTATGGGGGGGAGAAGGGTAAGGAGGCATTTTAATATTTTTTATTAAATTTAATTAAATAAATTTATTTCCCCCTCCCTTCTTACCTTTACTCAGAGTGGAGGGGGGACACTTCTCGATCCCTGGTGGTCCAGTGGAGAATCCCTGGTGGTCCCAGTGGTGAGAGTGAACTCTAGCCTGTAGCTCCAGGGCTAGAGTTCACTCTTGTGAGATCCAGAGCGTTGCCATGGTAACCACGGCAACGCTCTGTGCTCGTGAGAGAGGGACTGCAGGCTGAGCTCCCGGGTCCTCTCTCCATCCCTCCCCTGCCGGCTGCCTGCAATGTGCCTGTGGACCAGGGAGGGAGATCACTGATCTCCCCTCTGGTCCGTGAAGGCACATTGCAGGGCTGGCGCTTGGGAAGAACCTCGGCCTGCCTTGTAAAATCTCGGGGGGGAGGCATTGTCCCGTTGCCCCCCCTGGATACGCCATTGTACAGTGCAAGCATTTATTACATTTGCTTGCACTGCGCAGAACAAATACAGGGCCTTTTTCTCATGCTAGAGCTCTTTAGCTGGGCTCTGCACATTGAACCAACTCACTTTGAGAGGGGGCGTGCTTGTCATTAGTGATGACAAAACACACCCTCTCTGGCCCCACCCCCTTCTCAGCGGCCCACTGTGATTAAAGTCCGACCCTGTATGTAGCCTTAATCATGCATGTATCATGATCATGTTGCCCATCTTATTTCTAGTTTGCTGTAGTGCTGTAATATCCTGTGCGATCCCCGGCTTGGAACACCGTGACTCTGGAGGAAGCAGTGTTTGGGAACTTACAGAGTGCTCTGTGAACTCTCTTTTGTGTGTGTAATTGTGTGATTATGTTAGGATGGTGTACGATTGTGTGTTTGTGCATGTGGAGAGGCATGCCAACATACCCTGGGAGCCAAGTAACGTTGGTACACCTCTGCCCACGTTATCTTACTGAGGAAATCTCTTTGTGACCAAAAGGGTGATCAGCAGGTGACTCCACCATATACTTAGATGTGTACCTAGATATTGCTGGCATCTCCAGCACACGCCAATCTCAGCTACTATATAGGCACTGAGGGAAGCAGGAATCCAATACCAATGGGTCAACCATTTAGAAGCTGTCTTGTTTGCGAGTGTTTGTGTGTGTGAGAGAGGTGATGGAGTATTGTCATGTTACATGATATTGTTTTATTATAATGTACTGTTTCTTTAATGTTAATCTTAAATTTGTCTCTTGGGCCACTCTAGTTTGCATGCTGCTTCAGATACTCCCCTCCCCCTCTCCTTTTCTAGTGTTTTCTATGCTGTACATTCAATGTGACTTGTGGTATCTCTCCTAACTTGTCGTAACTGCACATTATACAGATCATACGAAGAATAAACATCACCAGATCTTCTTTCATGTGAGTTGAGACTGAGTAAACTATCTGGGAAGGTGATTTGATATGGATAATTTCATCAGGGCTATGAGCGCCATGTGCTCCTGAAAACCACATTCATAGCCTTTGCAGCCGGTCCAGAATAAGTATTGTTTAGCAAAGGTGCAAATGTTCTGCCATTGTTTGCCTGTGAATTTACATTATTGTTCTTCCTCACATCTGGATCTATATTTTAATAGGACAAAGAGTTGATAGATAAAATCAGTGAGTATAACTGAGAGATAACATGTGGCATAGGTTTGTTTTTTTAACAAAGTCACTCAAACGGTGTGAGATGGCTATCAGGTTCCACAGTTCTAAAAGTACTGCAGAGTAGTCTGTGGTAGAAGAAATAAATTTAAAAGGTCAAAAAATCATTATGGATGACTATTTTAGACCTCTACCGTGTCCCTGATTAAATTAATGAAAAGTGCGTAAAATCCGTGGGCTGTACTGAAAAAAAGCCATTTAGGGGTCAGTTGTGGACAATAAGATGGTAAATCATTTAGAGGCACTATAGGCTCAGGGAATAACTGAACGAATGACAATGAAACGATTTAGTCCTGATTTTTATTATGGATGAGACAGTTGGATGAGTGGAAAACCTGATGCAGCTGAGAGTAGGATCAGCAAGGGTAATGATGACAGAGGACATTTCACTTTCAGCTGCTCCACAGTTTGTGAGGACGGATGATGTGCCACTCCACCAGATGCTGAAGGTGACAGGCCCTATAGTAATTAGAACATGCAAGTATACTGCATCATAACCTTGTGGCTAGATCGCCCCAGAAGAACATTTTTTTTTTCTTTTAATGCATAAAAGTATGAGGCCGTTAGGGACTTGTAGTTATAGGTAAAGTTTGAAAAGATAAAGTTAATAAGGAAGAACATTTTCAACAATTTGTATTTATTTTTTATTTTTTTTAATTTAAAATTCTTTATTTTTTAGTGCAGTGGTCCAGTATAGATATAGCATTTTACGAGAAGAGGAGCAATCTCTGTCGCATTGTTATACGGGAAAACTGCACTTTTTTGTTTTGAGTACAAGAAAACAGGATAATGTAATACAGTTGTCGTCACATATAAAGGTAACAGTAGAATCACATTAAGTATTTGCATTTAAAGCTTTTACTGACATAAGTTAGGTACGTTATAGGCTGTAATGTCGATAGTTAGGTGACCCACCTTACAGGTCGTGTTAGTAAGCTCCATAACCCCAGGGCCTGGGGGGCAGGAGGGGGGGGGGAGAATAGGGGATGGTGAGGTAAGTCGCTGTAATAGCCACACATATTAAGGCTAATAAGCTCAGGGTAGTCGGGTGAGGTGACAACTGGAGGGCATATAAGTAACTGAGCAGAGGAGCAATTAAAACTAAAGAAAAGAAAACTACTTCAACTGAGAACGATTAAAACAATGATGTAGATAACACAGCTGAATCGGTACATGTATGTCCCTGTTGTTGCCTCATCCCAGAGCCGTAGAACCAGCAAGTTTAAAGATCGACACATTATCCACGTCCCAACCATGAGTAGATTTGCTGCTCTTTGAGGCAGTGGCAATTGTAAGTCCCAAAGACTTTAGGAAAGAGTCCGCCTGTGACACAGAGTTTATCCTGAAGCGTTGCCCATCCTGTTCCACCGTGAGCACCCCTGATGAGCCCCATCTTTATGGGATCCCCGCTTTTCGCAATTAGGTTGTCACCTTTTTCATGGATGCCCGCCATTGCAGCATCGATCTACTGAGGTCTTGGAAAAAGCTAAGTTCATGTTGTTCAAACATAAATGGTGATTGGCCTTTTATTGTGGCCAGGAAAGCCTCTTTGTCAGACCATGACCTGAAACTCAGAATGACATCTCTGGGAACAGAGGTTTTGTTGTTGGAGTTCCCTGGCAAGCAGTAAATTCCCTCAAGCAGTACGTTCTTGGCCTGCTTGGGTGGTAGTGAGCTGGACAGTAGCCGTCTGATATATTGTGGCAGCTCGCCTGCACCGATTATGTCAGGGATCCCCCTATTTTCAGATTGCGTTGTCATGTAAGGTCTTTAGCCTTCTGAATGCTGTGTATGCGGTAGAGACCTCTTGGAGCTGGTGTGCAGTGGCGTTTTGCTGGGCACCCAGGCTCTGGAAACTGTCCTCAGTGGCATTGATTCTGCCAGACAGCATGTTCAGGTCTGCTTTTAGCACCGCCATTTCAGAGAAGAAGAAGATTTTGAGGTCAGTGGTCATTGTAATGATGTCAGATTTAGTAGCCTACTGAGGTTCAGGTTGCCGTTTAAACAGAGCTTTACTGCCTCGAGGCTGTTGCCGGAGCTCTGCTGGTTCCCCTGCTTCATCCTCTGAGACTGATGTGGAGCCATGAGCTGAGTTCGGCATCAGGTCGGGCCTACCTGATTGTGAAAGTAGAAGCCCGATATCTCGGGTATGTTCTCCCACCGAGCCTTGGAACTTTCAGGAGTGTTTCCCCATTATTTCCTGTGACAAATGGTGTATCAGTGGGGGTGAAAGCAGCAGTAATGCGGATCTGATTGTCGGATGTCTCCTCCATCTTGCCGGAGCTCAGGAGATGTGCGACCGTGCGGTATGGTGTTAGCTCCGCCCTCTCCCCCCCATTTTCAGCAATTTTACCCAACTGAGTAATTAATATTAATTGATATTATGATATAATGTGACAAGTACATATGTAGTATTTGTTTTTTTTAGGAATACTCTGTTGTCCATACTTTTGCTGTGTATAAGTTGATAAACCATATTCTGTTGCTACCACTACTCTTTACATAAATATGTAACATGATCCTTGAATCCCATCCTTTCACACTGCAAAGTAACACATTTACCTGCTAGGACTCTATTTTGTCCCTTGAAGTCACCCTAAATGGAAAGCCCCTTTTATCTACAGCAACCATTGTATGTCAAAATGTATGGCAACAAGGGAGAAGGAGGTGAGAGAGTGAGAGATTTACCAAACTGAGCATACTGCAAGGATTCTTTGCAGGTAATAGCAGCTTCTACAGATGCTTAGTATAAGTACACTTAGTGTAGTGTAAGTGCACTTACTGTATTTGGGCATTGGAAAATTTTAAAATATTTGTGTTGTATTATATATTGTTTGGTTGCTAGATAATCCGAATCCTTGTGTGGCTCAGGTCTATGGATTAGTCTTTTACAGAGGTTCCCAAACAAGCGCTCTAGTCCACACTAGTAAAGGAAACCACAGTACAGATGCACTTGAACAAAGGCTGGCAATCTCTCAATGTCATGTAGTCAAAAGAAAAAGGTGTTCCTGGCACTCCATCAATTCAAGCAGCTTTATTGGACATGAACAGACATTGCAATGTTTCGGCCCACATCAGGGCCTTTGTCAAGCTTGACTTGAAAAAGGCCTAGTTGTGGGCTGAAACGTTGCAATGTCTACTCATGTCCAATAAAGCTGCTTGAATTGATGGAGTCCCTGAACCACCTTTTTCTTTTGACCCAAACAAGCACTGTCACAATTTATTCTCACCTCAACTAAGTGTCTCTTCACCCTTGCTCTGTCACAATTACCATGCATCTTCTGCACCTGTTAATTGTAGCCTACATCCTGCTACCTCCTTTATTTATTAACAAAAGCATTAATGTCATATTGTTTGAAAGCAAAGACAAACAATAAATCCTGGATTACCCTGAGAATAGCAGTCTCACTTGATCAAAGTTTGTCTGCAATTTGTCAAGGCAATTTTCCTGTTTTGCCGTTTTATCATACAATATGTGAGCATGATGACCTGGTGAAATGCATTGACTGCAATGCTCTGGAATAAGTTAAACTTAAAATTATAAAGAACACATTAGAAATTCTATTTTATATTTTATGAACATGGCCATAATTGCCTGTCATGAGTGCAAATGCTTTCCTGCTGAACAATAAAATAGCCACAAAGTTTTTAAAGTAATTCTTTTACATATCCATATCAAAATAATAATGTATGTGCCAAAAGCTGAATTATTGGAAATACGTATGATGTATCAGCAGTTGAATAACAATTACTGACCAATTTCTGTTTATTGTGTGAACAAGTCTTTCTTTGAGAACATGCCGAGCACAAACCAAGAAAGTTGTGGTGGGGAAAAAGTTAAAGGACCACTATAGTGCCAGGAAAACAAACTAGTTTTCCTGGCACTATAGTGCCCTGAGGGTGCCCCCACCCTCAGGGACCCCCTCCCGCCCGGCTCTGGGGAGAGGAAGGGGTTAAACACTTACCTTTCTCCAGCGCCGGGGCTGTACTCCCCTCTCTCTCCTCCCTTGCGGCGTCATGCGAGCCAGCGTATTCAGCGGTTGCATAGGAAAGCATTTACAATGCTTTCCTATGGTATGGCGTCTCTCACTGTATTTTCACGGTGAGAAACGCAAAGCGCCTCAGTGGCTGTCAGAGACAGCCACTGAGGCTTTGGAGAGCTGGATTAACCCAGTATAAACATAGCAGTTTCTCTGAAACTGCTATGTTTATTAAAAAAAGGGTTAATCCTAGCTGGACCAGGCACCCAGACCACTTCATTAAGCTGAAGTGGTCTGGGTGCCTAGAGTGGTCCTTTAATGAAAACCCCTTCCACCTGAAGTCAGTGGATAGTCAATACATTGTTAAACACATATCTGCGCACACCAGTCAAACCATAAGACTTGCTTTTCCCATAGAAATCTCAAAGGATTCTGGGTGTACAAATTAGTTCAAGAAAGAATCTGACACATATCTTTATTCAACAGCCTGATTTCAGAATTATCAAGCCCCAATACTGCTGTAAGAAAGTCTACAATTCTCTCACATTCCGAGACTCAACTATAAATGGGGTGCTGTAGGCATCCTTCTCTCCCCTCAATGTAACTTTCAACCAATCATAACTCCCCCTGCCCTATCCTTTTCTACATTTGAAGTTCACACTGTCCGCCTATATAAACCCACTCCTTTAAGAATTGCTATCATTAACCATCTCACCGGTTATCCTAGGCTACTCATTGAGCACTTTTCTTCCTGGCTTCCCCACTTCCTGTCATCTAGCACTCCATCCCTTATACTTGGGAATTTCAATATACCAATCAACAACCCCAACTGCACTGATGCCTCTCATCTGCTTTCTGTAACCTCCTCCTTTGGCCTTACGCAATGGTCCAATTTAGCAACCCATACAGCGGGAAACAATCTTGATCTCGCCTTCACCAATCTCTGTACCGCCTCTAATCTCTCCAATATTCATTTTCCTCTATCTGACTACCATCTGCTGACTTTTGACATCAGCATGCCTAAGACCCAACTGACACCAATCTCACAGAAACCTCATTTATAGTTGAGTCTCGGAATGTGAGAGAATTGTAGACTTTCTTACAGCAGTATTGGGGCTTGATAATTCTGAAATCAGGCTGTTGAATAAAGATATGTGTCAGATTCTTTCTTGAACTTTGAACTTGAACTTGTACACCCAAAATCCTTTGAGATTTCTATGGGAAAAGCAAGTCTTATGGTTTGACTGGTGTGCGCAGATATGTGTTTAACAATGTATTGACTATCCACTGACTTCAGGTGGAAGGGGTTTTCATTAACTTTTTCCCCACCACAACTTTCTTGGTTTGTGCTCCGCATGTTCTCAAAGAAAGACTTGTTCACACGATAAACAGAAATTGGTCAGTAATTGTTATTCAACTGCTGACCTAGATCATTTCTCCACTAATCTCCACTAATCTCCAAACTCTCCTTTTACCTATCTCAAACCTCACCTGTCCTAGCTCTGCAACCTCCTTCTACAATTCCACCCTCTCCTCTCAACTAGACATCATGGCATCTCCTACATTTAAACGCAGCAAACGCCCCCAAAAACAACCTTGGCAAACCAAGCTGACTCGATATCTCCAAAAATGCTCCAGAATTGCTGAACGCTGTTAAAGAAAGTCTTACTGTGCGTCTGACTTTCTCCACTATACATTTTTGCTGTGCTCATACAGCTTAGCTCTTTCCTCTGCAAAATGACCATTTCTGCTCCTTGATGTCCTTTCATGCTCATTTCTGTTCCTTCCCCTACTTTACCTTTGTGCTTCTTGCTTCCCTTTCCAGCTCCTTGCTGACCCTTTCTGCTCCTTGCTGACCCGTTCCTTTACCTTTGTGCTCCTTCTGTTCCTTCCTTCCCTTTCCAGCTCCTTGCTGACCCTTTCTGCTCTTTGCTGCCCTGTTCTGCACCCTCTCCTCCTTTACCATTGTGCTTGTCTGACACTTCCAGCTCTTTGCTGCCCCTTTCTGCTCCTTGCTGTCACTTCCAGTTTCTTTCTGCTCCTTCTCCTACTTTACCTTTGTGCTCCTTCTGCTTATTTCTGCTCCTTCACCGTTGTGCTCCTTCTGTCTTTTCCTGCTCCCCCTTTTTGCTCCTTCCAGATCATTTCTGCTTCTTGCTGCCCCTTCCTGCTCATTTTTTTCCTTTCTGCTCCTTCTCCTACTTACCTTTGCGCTTCTTGCTGCCCCTTCTAGCTCCTTGCTGCCCCTTTCTGCTCCTTCTCCTACTTTACCTTTGTGCTCCTTCTGTCCCTTTCTGCTCCTTGCTGGCTCTTTCTGCTCCTTGCAGACACTTCCTTCTCCTTGCAGACCCTTCCTGCTCTTCGCTGCCCCGTCCTGCTCCTTCCTGACCCTTCTGACTCATTTCTGCTCCTTCTCCTACTTTACGTTTGTGCTCCTTCTTTCCCTTCCAGCTCATTGCTGACCATTTCTGCTCCTTGATGTCCCTTTCTGCTAATTTCTGTTCCTTCTCCTTTCTGCTCCTTGATGTCCCTTCCTGCTTATTTCTGTTCCTTCTCCTACTTTACCTTTGTGCTGTTTCTGTCCATTCCTGCTCCTTGCTGACCCTTCCTGTTTCTTGCTGACCCTTCCTGATCATTTCTGTTCCCTTGTGCTCCTTCTCCTACTTAACTTTTGTGCTCTTTCTTATTCTTTCTGCTCCTCCACCTTTGTGCCCCTTCTGTCTTTTCCTGCTCCTGCTGCCCCTTTTTGTTCCTTGCAGACCCTTTCTGCTTCTTGCCAACCCTTCCTGCTCATTTTTATACACCTTTCTCTTCCTTCTCCTACTTTACCTTTACGCTCCTTGCTGCCCCTTTCTGCTTCTTGCTTACTCTTTCTGCTCCTCGCTGACCCTACCTTCTCCTTGCTGCCCCTTCTTGCTCATTTCTGCTCCTTCTCCTACTTTACCTTTGTGCTCCTTCTGCTGTTTTCAGCTCATTGCGGACCCTTTCTGCTTCTCGATATCCCTTCCTGCTCATTTCTGTTCCTTCTCCTTTCTGCTTCTTCTCCTACTTTACCTTTGAGCTCCTTCTGTCCCTTCCTGCTCCTTGCTGTCATTTCAGCTCCTTGCTGACCCTTTCTGCTCCTTTCTGTTCCTTCTACGTTACCTTTGTGCTGCTTTACCTTCCAGCTCCTTGCTGCCCCTTCCAGCTCCTTGTTGCCCGATGATGTCCCTTCCTGCTCATTTCTGCTCCTTCTTTTACTTTACCTTCCTGCTCCTTGCTGACCCTTCCTATAGGCTGTCTCCCCCATCTCT